ATATTTTCACCACAGCATTTTACAAAAGTAATAAAGAATTAAACAATACTGCATCAACTACATAAAGAAATTATTCTCCACGATACAACCATCGAGATCAGATTGATAGTAAGAAACTGCTCGTCATTCATAATCATATTTTTCATTACTATAATTAATTAAAATAAATAATAAATATTTTAATATTTAAATTATATTTATAACTTATAAACATTTATAGAAATATATAACACTAATTCTATAAATTTAGATATTTTAAAATTTTTTATTTATATTTTTAATCATTTAAATTCCTTTTTTAATACATGAAACTACTAATAGAATCCACTTATATTGAATTGATATCAGATTTTACTTATCTAAAATTTGCTATTAATACATATAATAGCCTTATAAATTAGATTGATTTGTACACGGTCGAATGTAAAATTTATTGTCAATAAAATTTATATTAAATTATTTTTAAGTTAAAAACAATCTTTTTTATACCTTTATTCGATAACAAAAAAAAAATCAATTAGTACAAAATTATTATGAAATTAATTAAAAAGGGAAAAAATTAAACTATTAAAAGAAAATAATTATTAATGTAATACATACAGCTACATAATGTTATGTATGTAATACATAATGTTATTACATACATAATACATAACCCTTATTGTTCGGGAATGTAAGAAAACTCCCAGCTCATTAAACATCTGGAAAATTCAAGATAAGAGTTCCGAAAAAGGCGTACTCTCGACTACTCGAGAAATAAAATTCAAACACGCCTCGGATTAACTAAATCTAAACAATTCAGCAAAACTTCGAATATCTAAAGAAAAACAATTCATAAAATATCCGGCGAGAATATGCGATCAAGTGTCTAACGAAACGCGTATTAAAGCTAATGCGACGATAAATTCGACGCGACCACGCCATAAAGTATCCATCGACGACAAGCCATAATACTTCTGGTATAAACAAGTCATAAAAATATAAGCAAAAAAATCACGTCGTTTGACATCCGAAAAAGGGATATTAAAGGCATACGCTGTTTCTCAAACCCAGCTACATGTGGCTCGGATAGTGAAGCGAGAACGTGCCAAAGAAGTCCCCCTCTCATGGTGGGAATGCAAGTAAGAAGCGCTCTGATTGGAGCCGCCAATAATGAAAGGATCAATTCGATTGGAGACGCTCAAAAAGAGGCGCTCTGATTGGAAACACCAAGAAGCAGGAATTTCATAAGGGCCACGCGGTGGCCGAGAGAATGCCTTCAAGAAAGACGCCAGCGAAGCGCACGAGAATCTCTTCTCACCAGAGAAGCCGGCAAGGTTGCTTCTCCAAGGGAATGCCAAATAACAAGGATGTAGACATACACAAGTAAAGACCGATTAAGAGGCAAAGCCTTGTCATATGCAACTCATAACAAGTGCAAGATAAGTGCAAATCAAATCATACACA